TTACGTGGTGCTAGCGCTGCATACTTAACCAGAATTAGCGAGTCTGTTCAACCTGTGTCCCCATCCCACATGCAGCTAAAGGGAGGGAAGGCCAGAGACAAGATCTTCTCAAGTTATGGTCTCAGTGGGTAACACTAAGGATACTCTCACCTATTTTGAGATCCATTGATCTGTCTAGACCATCTTATTTTCTCTCTCATAACACCGGCCTGGCTGATTCAATCTTGCAAGGCTGGTGTGCCATAGATGCCTCCCATCAAAAGTGTCATTTCTCAGCAGCCGAGAAATGTGCCTCCTTATAGCGGCGTCTGCCTCTGGAACAAGGTTCCCCGAGATCTGGATGGCCCTCACTCAACCATTGTTTTGAAGAGCTATGAAGTCCTGCTCTTCACCCTGGCCTTCGCTGAGGGAGACTCCTCAGTTCATCACCCTTGCCATCTTTTCCCTTAATGTTCATTTTATATCGTGCTTTCTACTTTGATTGTTGCGAGTCATCCAGAGTCATTGGAAATTCGGTGGCATGAAGTTTAATCGTTATCATTATTCTGAAATGCTCTGGGAGCAGGCAGTGATATCAGTTTCCTTTGAAATTTTAATCGTACTTTAATTGTATTCTATTTTTATTTGGAAATTAGAGGATATAAAAAAAATAAGCCTGCACAACTAAGTTGCATTTATGCCAATACTACAGTCTATGAACCAGTGGTGGTATTCTACTGGTTCGGCCCGGTTCGGCCGAGCCGGTAGCGCCAACGAGCAGCAGAGACTGCAGCAGTTCTCTCCAATGCTCTACTGTGGGCTCCCATACTAACCTTTATTCCCTGCTTTTGGAGCGCAACTGCTTTGCACGGCACAGCAGATTGTTGTGCGGCAGCTGCTGAAGCAACAGGGAGTGTGGGATTGCAGGAGGCGAGTCGGAAAGCCACTGTGCCTGCGCAAAGTGCATGTTTGGCACACACATGCGCACCCACCAAGACACGCCCACTGAACTGGTGGTAAAGTTTTATGAAATGCACCACTGCTATGAATATTCTCAGTCATCTAGGTCATAGTTGTCCCAAAGGTGCTTTTTTGAGGCAACCTCTCAAAAAGCACCTTTGAAAAAGCACCTTTGGTTGCCTCTCAAAAAAGCACCTTTGAAAAAGCACATTTGGGATCAATACTACAGTATTCACTATACTTCTCTGTACTTTTCTATCCTTGCAAGTCATTGTATTTAGTTCCATTATATCCATACACTACTTCATACATTGCCTTTAAAGTATTATGTTGAAAGCATCAAAGAGTAGACTGTTTTATTAAAAGCAGAACCCCCCTCCCAATTCATCTTATTAAACTAACCAGTTTCTTCTCTATATGGGATTGCATTAGGTGTTCCTTGCTATGTAACTGCTTCATTTAGCAACTGTTCATAGTTAGGAGGGTGATGTTTCACTTAACTGTACTGCTGCTCCCAACTATGGTTGCAAAATGAGGATACTTGTATTCATTAAGTAAATCTAATTAAATTTCCTAGCATTTATTTCTATAAATACTTTGTAAGGCATCAGGGAATTTAATACATCAGTTTAGATATACTTCTAATCTAAATTCTAATGTTATAAAACTACTGTATTTAAAGCAAATATATTTAGACATCTACATTCAGAAAATTTACTGTACTTCAAAAGGAAATCTATTTTAAACAAATGACAGATTTAATCAACTCTCTTTATTTACATAGAAATATGTGTACACATATATTCTGTATTTGTACACATACATTTCTAAGTATATATACATTTATAATTTCCACATACTCTACAATAAACAATCTCATTTGTATTTAAAGTAGCTACAGAATTGGGTAAAAATACAAGTTCAAAAATAACAGCTTACAACTAAATTACAAAATCACCCAATAATGAACTCATAAATTTTAGCAAGAAATCCTAGCTTATGTACAGCCAGATCTAGATCACATGATACAAATGTGAACTAGATGTTTTAGTTAAGTTTTTAGTTTAGTAGTTTTCTTATTTGAGAAGAAAAAGTTGGGGGAAAATTAATTTGGCAAAACTCTTCAAGACAAAATAGGGAAATGATCAGCTTAAATAAAAGTTTCTGATCGCTTAAATAAAAATATACACGTTTCCAAACTCTTAGTTTCTAAGACCATTCCTTTCTTTTAATTAAATGATTTTGAGCATACATGCTCCTGCTGAACAGTGTGGATGGAGATAGGAACCAACTAGATATATAAATGCCTGGGATATGCTGGTTGGGAAACGCTTATAATGCAATCTGAACTGGAGTTCCTTCTTGCTGAAAATCATAGAAAAATGCCAATTTTTCCCAGGTTAAATCCTGGACAGGAAGCCCCCTGTGTCAGACATGTAGGTAAGATAGCTGCTAATATTATTAAAACTAACTAATATAGAATGGGCTACTTATATTTCAATTTTCCTCTTCTTAAACGGCCGATTGTAACAAAAGCAAATCTAATGGTCTGGTTTCTTACATTATCAGAAAACAGCCATTGTCTGTCCTTACTGGTCCTTGATCTTTTGGGCAGTGGGTTCCACCCCTCCTTCACAGCAGAAATCTCACTTTACATACTCTGATTGCAGATGCCACTGCCATCATGGATTTATTCCAAAAACTGTTTGAATCTTTAATCTTATCCCTCAAATATGATAGTATATTTATTGAGTATCTTATTATCAAGCTGTTAAAGAGTTTGTCATTCATTTTGCAAAAAAATGCATTATACTCATAGCATAATAAAATGGAGCTGTTTGCCTGTCTGTATGTGGCTAACAGAGTAATCTATCTTCTTTGCACAGAAAACCTTTGAATCCCAAATGTAGCTGTTTCATGCAATGTGAGAATTGTTTGATTATTACTTTTGTTGCAACAATGAATAACTTCTGTCTCTTTCTATAGGTAGACATGCTAGAGTCTGCGGTATAAAATATTTGGGTGATATATCATCACATGTAACAATCCCAAAATGCACAAAGGTTTCGCAGTTTATATGCCTTTTTCATTTTGTTTCGCTTGGGAATGAGGAGAATAAAGTTCTCAGAAGCACAAGGTTTGGTGAGAGTGACAATTTCCATATATCCTCTCTCTTCAACTAAGCTCCAGAAAATGTGGAACAGTTTTGTGAATGGGTAGAGATGCAAGGAGAAAAAAGAATCTATTTCTGCCTCTGGGGGAAAAAATGATGGATATAATCAAATTTTCTCTGAAGCAGTAGTTCTTGGCAAATTTTTAAGATTAAAAAAAAACGACTGGAGGATTGAGATGTCACTATCTCATTGATGAAGCTTACCAGGTCTGAGATAAGTTAATGACTAGGTCACCTGGAAACTACTTGATTTCTGCCAATTGATTCATATCCAAAGGTAAGTATTTGCACAAGGAAATCTTATGTAAAAGATTCATTGTTTTGAAAAGATTCACTGCTTTGAAAAATTAAAATGTACATGGTCTGGAATTTTAATCAATAGAAGCAGGGTGGTAAAAATCTCATTATAATTTTATGTTAGGTTTCTTCTTCAAAAGGTTTTCTATAACAGTCCTGGCAAGGGTTTATGATACTAAAAAGCCAAGTCCATTTATATCTCGACATGATTCCACTGCATAGAGGGAGATTATCGTTCCTGCTTCATTATTTCAATGAAATCAGATTTATACTTTATTGCACTGAATGAAAACAGTCCCCTCTAGAGGGGTTTTGTGATTTTAATTTTTGTATGCTTTCAGAAAGACAAAATTGGTAGAGACCCCCAATTTCCGAATTACATGGACAGATTAAGGTCAAAGCAGTTTCAACACAGAACACATTTTCTCAATATTTTTGCATTAAATGGACATTTCGGCAGAATTCTGTTCTATTAAACTATGTGTTTTTTTTCCACCACTGATTTTGAAAACAACAACAACAAAAAAAGTTTACTACTTTTCATGTCTGAATGAAGAATGTCACTGTCCGCAAATCTGTATGGTGGGCAACATTATCCACAGAACATTTTTATCCAGTTCTCTGCTCCTAATACGACATGGACTTTACCGATAGATATAAACATGGCTTTAGAGGTGTGCAGCTGATTTACCAAATTGTTACATAAAGGGCACAGTTTTGTCAGATTATAGTTAGAATGATTGTGGGTATTTAATAAGCAAATGATATTGCTTGTGAATGATTCATTCACAAAACAGTTATGCAAATCTCATAGACGTTCTTCTGATTTTAAATTCCTATAGAATTTTTGCCTACGTTTTAAGCAAAATTCTTGGCAGCATATCTGACAAATTTCTTTCTCTGAATGTTTCTCCCTAATCTCATAAAAAAAGTTTCAAGTGCTACTTTCGGAACCCATTTTGATAACCTCTCTACATGTTAGAGAGCTTGAATATTACCTTTGACAAATTTGCTGGCACTGGCAGTTTAACATTCCTAAAATGCTAACAAAGAATGTTTTTTCCAATATTACCAGCTGAATCTGCTGTTGCAGCAAGTCTTAGTAAGAGACTATTTGTGTCTCTTCCTTGCAAAGAATTTGGCTTTTTGCACTTATCTGTATACTATTAATATTTGATAAGATCTGACACAATGAGAAATTAAATACAAATACTGTATTGTGAAAAAGTGTATTTTGATTTTTGGATATTAAAATATTTATGATAACAGCAAAACCTTCAGGCTGGTCCAATCATTCAGTGATTCCTCATGAAATTACAACTGCATGTCCAAATAGGGACTCTGATCTGAAGTCTTATGAAAATGTTACATGGTGCTTGATCATGATGACATATGCAAGTTGCTACATGATGTTCTAGTCACCAAGTGAGGAACATGCATGGATGAACCAGCCCACAAGTGATACTTTTCTTTTAGGGAGAAGAAAGCTGCTTAGTTAACCTGATTAGGAACAATGCCTTAAGAAATTTAAAACTAGAACTTCAGACATATTTTTTTCTGATATAACAGTCATTGATGAAGAGAGAGTACATCATCCAGAGGATAAATATGGTGTCTCACTGTGGTAGTTGTAATCAGGGCAGACCTTCTGCACTAGTTTGTAATCAACACTGTAGAAAGCAATATAAATACAGATGACCTTAAATGGTTTAGAACATAACCAGGACACATGGCTTTGGGTCTGCTCTTGGTAGCAGATTTTTGAAGGGTCAAAGTTACACAGTGCAGTTTTCTTAGCCCTGTCAGTTTTCTCATATTCAATTCGGCAGTTGAAAGACTTGGATTCCTTAGTCTCTAGAGTTGATTGAGGGGAAGATTCAAATTCCACCACCTTGGAAGGTGGCACCAGGCTTACAGAAACATTCCCAAGGCCTGTTGAATTGTGCCGGAAATAAACACTAAAGGTTCCATTGCCGTGATCGACAATCTTCCCTGTTATCAGAAGATTCAACTTCACAGTTTTGATGTTAGAATGGAAGTCGCCCCATCCAAACATTTTTTTAAACTTTCCAGTTTTCACAATTGGTCTGCGTTTAGTTCGTGCCAGAGATTCCTGAACTTCAGTGATATTGGATAGCCAATCCCAAAAGTTGTCTGTGTTGTCTGAATATGGCATCCGCCCATGTTTCATTGTTGGAGAGGGCTTTACAAAAAGGCGTAACGGATTGACGATCCGAGAATGGACTACACTAGCAACCAAAGTATCTGCAACATCTTTATCCTCCCAGTCCAATAAGTCTGTGGCCTGGATGATTTGCTTAGCATCACAGAATATCTGTTTCAAAAGAGAAAGAGAGAAGAATTTAAGAAACAGAAATAAGGTATTTTTTATCATTGCTTTCTTTACAGAAAAAAAAAATACACAAAAGTTTACAACATTGCTGAGCTACATTGTACAATGTTCGGATTAACTGAGCTCAGTCTAGTTGGATTCTATTCAGATGTTATTCTTCTCTTATTACTGTCAGAGCTATGAATTTCCTACAACTGAGTTGATAATGAATCAAATTATTTATGTTTCCTTCTCAAACTCCCATTAAGAGCTATTTCACCTTCTCTTATATAATCTTATGATGTAAATGTGTGTGACTATTCATTTTCTTTTTGTATCATATATTTTACATTATAAGCCATTACTGTAAAACAGGAAACTCCTTGAATTGTTTTACAGGAGGACTATATATACACATAGTATATAAAATAAATATCTAAATTGGAAGTACTTCATGAATAAGTGATAGCACTTGTGAATTATTCATTCATGAATATTTTAAGAATCATAATGTTAAACACAGCAGTTTTATATGCAAAGCGCATCACAAATTTTTGATAACGTTCTTCTTGTACTAGTATAAAAAGCTTTCCCCCTCTTTTCAAAAAATATAGTGTAAAATAATTTATTTTATTTATTTAAGAAAATTTATATGGCTATCCAATTTACTCTCTGTGATTCCAGGCAGCTTACAAAGATAAAAATATAATATAAAAACAATAAAATGCAATAATCTCCCCCCAATGACAATAATAAATCAACCCATAAGCCACTTGATGGGCTCTATCCCACTCTGGATTGCCCAGGTCCGTTGGCAAAACCACTCTATAAAGCCTTAGTAAGACCACACCTAGAGTACTGCATCCAGTTTTGGTCACCACATTATAAAAAAGATGTTGAGACTCTAGGAAAAGTACAGAGAAGAGCAACCAGGATGATTAGGGGACTGGAGGCTAAAACATACAACGAACGGTTGCAGGAACTGCGCTTGGCTAGTCTAGTAAAGAGAAGGACCAGGGGAGACATGATAGCAGTCTTCTAATATTTGAGGGGCTGCCACAGGGAGGAAGGGGTCAAGCTATTTTCTGAAGCTCCTGTAGGCCAGACAAGGAATAATGGATGGAAATTGAACAAGGAAAGATTTAACCTGGAAACAAGGAGAAACTTTCTGACAGTGAGAACAATCAACCAGTGGAACAGCTTGCCCTCAGAAGTTGTGGGAGCACCATCAGTTGAGACTTTCAAGAAGAGATTGGCTGCCATTTGTCAGAAATGGTGTAGGGTCTCCCAGCTGTTGGACTAGATGACCTACAAGGTCCCTTCCAACTCTGATTATCTGTATCTGCATTAAGTCTTCAGGGCCTTGCAAAACAGTGTCAAAGCAGGGTGCAATCTTATCTCTACAGGAAAGAGAGAGAGCCACCAGAGAAGGTCCTTTTTCTTGGTCCCCCTAGAATCTAGATGTACCTCTTTAGGAGAGGGGGCCTGTAACCTTCCTTACTTCCCCACTCTAGTGGGTTTGGTAGGTGTGACTGGGTATATATGATCCTTCAAGTAACCTGGTCCCAAACCATGTAGGGCTTTGAAGGTGACAATCAGCACCTTGAATTGGACCCAGAAGCAAATTGGCAGCCAATGCAACTCCCACAAGAGACATGTGCACATTTAGCCCTGCACAAAACCACATGGGTTGCTGCACTTTGAACCAATTCTGAATACTTTTCAAGGGCAGCCCAATGCAGAGTGTGTTGCAATAGTTAAGATGGGAGGTAACTATGGTTGCAAGAGACTTTGAGCAGGGACTAAACAACACTTAACATTGCTTAAGAGTTACTAAATGTTATTTGTTTATTGTTTCTAAATGATTTTGTTATTGTTTCTATATGATAACATACCTTGTGTATTTATCCAATCACATTTAAATGTAACAGTTAAGTCTCATAAAACTTTGGTAGTTAAATGAGATGCAATGAAAGGGGAGGGATACTATACTACATTACTGAATCTTTCTGTTTTTCCTGAAAACTAGGAATGCCTCTACTCTGAACTGAGGGATGATTAATAGTGAAATACAGCATGCTTAAATTGTTTTACCAGTCAACTTGCCCTAAAAGTGGCCTAATTTACTTTTTAATGAGGATTGGATTAATCAGTTTTCTGTATGTGAACTGCCGCATTTTCAGAATTATTGTATTTGGAAAGGGTACATTATTTTAAAATATTAATGGATTCTGTGATTTAATTAATGCTTTTTCTAGGTTAATCTAATGGTGAATATGTATAAGAATATTTTGATTACTGTTTCATCTCTTATTAAAATGATTGTACTTGTTATCACAATGTATTATTATGTAAAACTAGTATACTATGTGTGTCTGCATAATATCCAAATAAATGTTTTCTTTGCAATTAAATAATACAAAGCAATATTCTTGTCACATGGAATTTTCCATATTCCTTAATTAAAAATCCTTCCTTCATACAATTTCTGTTCATTACTATCTTCCAGTCTTTAGAAGGCATGTGCAAAATATTTCAGTTTCTATAAGACTTTTCCTGAACTTTTTACTCAGAGTGCTCATTAATTTACATTTTTCAATGTTTCAATATGTATTTTATAGCACTTTCCCCCCATTTCTGTCCCATGACAGAAGCAAATTACAAAATGAAGTTGATACCTGATGTTGAGAGAAGATACTCAGGTATATTTCTTGTTCTTTTCTTTTTTACAATGCCTTAGATAAGCAGCAATATGGTATCAAATGCTACTTGGAGTGAGTTTTAAACACCTTAGTGCATAATCAAACGTATAGTCTGGTTGGAAAATGACTTGATCCTTATTTCTCTCAAGCAACTGTGTTAGAGGTAAGCAAAACACTTTCAAAGTATATTCTTGGCATATAATGTACACTTACACTATTTCCCCTTCTATAGGTAAATGTCTCAAAACAATTTCCTTAATGTATGTATTTAACATGGCTGCCCATCTCACCATAGCAACTTTATATGGCTAATTAACATATAATAGCACAATACAAAATAATTTAATATATGATAACAATTTAAAAACATACAAAGGCAGTAAACAATACATCATACATTCAGGACTATGAATGGGTTTCAACTAATTTCCCAGACCTCAAACCTGGGAACACATCCATGTCTCTGAAGCCTTCCAAAAGACCAACAAAGTTGGGGCAAAATGGATTTTGGTGACAAAGGGCAGGCAATATAAAAGAAAAGACCCATTTCTGGGTCTCGTAAGATGACAATCTTTAATTGACAGCACCTAAAACATACTGGAACTTAGACACATTAATAGCCAGATATAGTGAAAACAAGTTCCATGTCCTTCACCTTTAAACGTGAATCGCATGTAATTTTTTTCCTCTACACTATCCTCCCAGTGTAGTGACAATTGGAAATAGCAGCCCCTTCCACCAGCAATAACATCATGATCCATGATGATGCTATACTGCAAATCCTAGTTTTAAATCCTTTTGAGTGAAAATTTTAGAGGTGCTTATTCTCATCCTTTTCTTGGAAGTAATAATTTTAACAGTGTTTTCCTTATAGTTTCCATTACTACAAGTTTCCACTAGAATAGATGAGGACAAGCTTCAACAAATACACAAATTTTAGAAAAAAATACAATGAGGGACACAGAACACCAAGTTGGCTATGGAGATGGAAGCCACAGCCAATGAACTGGTTGGACTTTATGACCAGATAAGGATTATAAATATATAACTTGGAATATAAATGGACCTAATACTCCACAAAAGAGGAAAGTTTTTCATCATTTGAGAAAATTAAATTCGGCTACAGCATGTTTACAGAAGACTCATATACAGAAGAAAGATGTAAATATTTGATTAACAGACATCTAGGGAGGAATTTATATCATTTTTCAAAGATGAAGTTTTATACATTAAATATAGGTCATTAACTGGAGATTCAAGGAGTCAAATATATTGTAAGTGGGTTTTATGTGCCACATGATTAAAAAACAAAATGTTTGGTTCATTTAATGGAGCAATTCTCATTCCAAAACTGGTGTTATGTTGGATGATTGGAATGGGGTCGTAGTACCCATTCAATCTGACAGAACTTCTAGTAAATAAATTAAAGTTAGGACAAATTATCAGCATCTTTTTTTAAAAAAAATACATAACTTGATTTTAGGGATGTTTGGAAATGTAAAAATAAATCCGCAAGACAATATAACTTTTTTAAAAGAAAGGCATAAATATTTTCCAAGAATTTGATACGGCTCTCAAAGAATCTACCATACAAGACAGGTAAGGTAGAGATTTTACCAAAAATGTTTTCTGATCATAACCCATTTATGTTAGCTTGTATTTTAATGTTTTTAAAATAAAGGCATTTTTTAAAAATAGTGTTATGTTTGAGTTTTTTGGTAGAGGTATATCCAATATCCAAGTGGATTTGGAATTTACGAATAGGTCTAATAAGTTATATGAGTCAACTCCCTACAGCATTTGAGATTGCAAATGTTGCTTCCCACCAATTGATAAAGCACCTTCAGGTATTTACAGTTCTACTTCACTAATGAAAAGTGGCTAAAATCCCTTGTTCAATAGTTTAGATAATTGGATTGTGTTAAGAATTCTGTCCTGTCTCCTTTAGTTTACCAAAATGACAAGCTACCTCATAGCAGGAAAATAGCAGGGAGGGAACCCTTTCATGGACAAATGTAGCAGCACGTTAAATATTCTGCTTGTAAATAAATCCTTTAAAAGAACTATCTAGACTTCAGAAGTTTAGGTATACCAAAATCTCTGCTAAAAATACTGAATGCAAATCCTACTCCATAAAACGTCGGTGATAAAGCTTCTACCAGGACCATATATCTTCTGAATCTTTAGAAAATTGTCAGAGCAGCATAATAGGAAATTGATAGAAAGTGGGTGAGGAATGACAGAAGTGGGCAATATATCAATATACTAATTGTACATATTAATATTTTCCAATGTAATATATCACTTTCT